ATACCCCATACCCGGCCTTTGGCTTTTCTTTTCTTTTTTTTAAGCCCCAGCTAAGCCAAGGGCTCTCTCTCTTCTGGTCTCTTGGGTTTGCCCCACCTGAAGACATGAGTGGTGAGTTGGCTCCAAGTAAAAGCACAGAGCATATATCCAATTTGCCTATTCCCTGACAATTAATAACTTATACTGGATATTTTTCAAGGATGACAAAGTTGTAAAGACTACTATGATGAAATATAAAGATACCAGGAAGAGTAAAGAGGTTGCATTTATTTTATTTTTGGATAAAAGAGTTTGTACAAAACAGTATCAGGGCAATAAACAACAGTTACTTGGTAAAGTGATAAAAGCAAGGAACACAATTGACAACAGAAGAGTAGCTGAGTTCACCCAAAGGCAGGACTACTTTCATGAATTTAAGTGTTATATTTGTGAGAAAAGTGAATAACTAAGTTATGCCTGTCTGAAAAATATGCTTGGAGAACGTGAGCCTCCAAAGAAGAAAGAAAAAAAGAAAGTTCCTGAACCAGTAGAAGAAACTGAAGCAGAAGCAAGTGAAAGTTAAAGGGAGAATTCTGCTTTTGACAGCCTTAATCAGGCCATAGCATTCTCGCGAGCCAAAACTGAGTAAGAAAAAAAAGAAGAAAAAAATAAAATCCATTTCAGGAGGTCCCTCAATATCAGATAATTCAAGATGCCTAAGGATAAAGAAAAACACCTATTTCAGTGATGAGGAAGAACTTAAGTGATTAAAATTATATTTATTATGTAAATATCACTAAAATAAAAAAGTCTTGGCATACAAAGTTAAAAAAACTACTCAAATGCTTTAAAAAATTCATTTAATAGATAATACATGTCCTCCATTTGGTGTACTCAAAAAAATTTCCTTTTAAGAATATACCAGGTACTCGCTTCAGCAGCACATATACTAAAATTGAAACGATACAGAGAAGATTAGCAGGGCCCCTGTGCAAATATGACATGCAAATTTGTGAAGTGTTCCATATCTGAAAAAAAAAAAAAAGAATATACCGGGCTGGGTGTGGTGGCTCATGTCTATAATCTCAGCACTTTGGGTAGATGAGGGGGTAAATCACTTGAGGTAAATCACAAGAGTTCAAGACCAGCCTGACCAACATGATGAAACCCTATCTCTTCTAAAAATATAAAATTAGCCAGGCATGGTGACACACGCTTATAATCCCAGATACTTGGGAGGCTTAGGCATGAGACTTGCTTGAATCCAGGAGGCAGAGGTTGCGGTAAGCCAAGATTGTGCCATCGCACTCCAGCCTGGGCAGCAAGAGCAAAACTCTGTCTCAAAAAAAAAAAAAAAGTAATATACCCAAGCTAGGCACAGTGGCTCATGCCTATAATCCCAGCACTTTGAAAGGCTAAGGCAGGAAGAGCTCTTGAGCCCAGGAGTTCAAGACCAGCCTGGGCAACACAGTGAGACCCTACCTCTACAAAAAATAACTTAAAAATCTTAAAATATTGGCCAGGCACAGTGGCTCACGCCTATAATCCCAGCACTTTGGGAAGCCAGGGTGGGTGAATCATGAGGTCAGGAGTTCGAGACCAGCATGGCCAACATGGTAAAACCCTGTCTCTACTAAAAATAGAAAAAATTAGTTGGGCGCGGTGGTTGGTGTCTGTAATTACAGATACTCGGGAGGCTGAAGCAGGAGAAATGCTTGAACCTGAAAGGTGGAGGTTGCAGTGAGCTGAGATTGTGCCACTGAATTCCTGTCCAGGTGACAGTATGAGATTCCATCTCGAAAAAAAAAAAAAAATTAAAATAGTTATTTTAAAAAATAATTTTAAAATAAAATGGTGTGATGGTACGTGCCTGTAGTCTTAGCGATTCAGGAGGCTGAAATGGGAATACTGCTTGAGCCCAGGAGGTTGAGACTGCAGTGAGCCATGATTATACCACTGCATTCCAGCACAAGTGAAAGAATGAGACCCTGTCTCAAAAAAAAAAAGAAAAAAAATGGTAAAGAGTAGAATGGTGGTTCCCAGAGACTGGGGTAAGGAGTAGATAGGGAAAGTGGAGATGGTTGGTCAAATTGTACAAAGTGTCAACTAAACAGGATGAATAAATTCTGGTAATCTTTTGCATAGTATGGTGACTATAGTTAATGATAATATATTGGCTAGGCTAGTATGTCATACCTGTAATCCCAGCACTTTGGGAGGCTGATGTGGGCAGATCACCTGAGGTCAGGAATTTGACACCAGCCTGGCCAACATGGTGAAACTCAATCTCTACTAAAAATGCAAAAATTAGCTGAGCATGGTGGCTTGTGCCTGTAATCCCAGCTACCTGGGAGGTTGAGGCAGGAGAATTGCTTGAACTCAGGAGGCAGAGGTTGAAATGAGCTGAGACTGCACCACTACACTCCAGCTAGGTGACAAAGTGAGACCTCATCTCAAAAAAAAAAAAAAGTGTATTTCAAAATACATTAAAGGCCAATCAGGAGTTCGAGACCAGCCAGGCCAACATGGTGAAACCCTGTCTCTACAAAAAATACAAAAATTAGTGGGGCATGGTGATGGATGCCTGTAATCTCAGCTACTTGGGAGGCTGAGGCAGGACAACTGCTTGAACCCAGACCTGGACGAAAGAGCAAAACTCTGTCTGAAAAAAAAAAAAAAAGAAAAAAAGCAGCACTTTGAATTAGTGCAGTGGTACTATTTTTTTTTTTTGAGACTGAGTCTCGCTCTATTGCCCAGGCTAGAGTGCAGTGGCACAATCTCCACTCCCCGCAACCTTTGCTTCCCAGTTTAAGCAATTCTCTGCCTCAGCCTACCAAGTAGCTGGGATTAGAGGTGCCCACCACCACACTTGGCTTATTTTTGTATTTTTAGTAGAGACGTGGTTTCAGGGTCTTGCTATGTTGCCCAGGCTGGTTTCGAACTCCTGGACTCACATGATCTTCCTGGCTCAGCCTCTCAAAATGCTGGGAGGCATGAACCACCACAACTGGCTACTTGGACAATATTTTATAACTAGGGGCTTGTTTGCTTGTTTTTTGTGTATATGCATGTACACAAGAAAAAAAATTACTGAGAATTGGGCTGGGCATAGTGGCTCATGCTTGTAACTCTAGAACTTTGGAGGCCGAGGCAGGCGGATCTCTTGAGGTCAGGAGTTTAAGACCAGCTTCCCCAACATGGTAAAACCCCCATCTCTAATAAAAATACAAAAATTAGCCAGATGTGGTGGCGTGTGCCTGTAATCCCAGCTCCTTGGGAAGTTGAGGCAGGAGAATTGCTTGAACCCAGGAGGCAGAAGTTGCAGTGAGCTGAGATTGCCCCACTGCACTCTAGCCCAGGTGACAGAGCAAGAGTCCATCTCCAAAAAAAAAAAAAAAAAGGGAATATCCCCTATCCTCTGAACTCTCACCATCCAAACTTAGGAACTAATGTGCACTTTTGGATAAATCCCTTACTAACCGAAGTTTTACTATTTACTGTTAGAAACTCAGAAACTTAAGAACCAAATATATGCAAATAATGTTGATATCCTTATCTGATCTACCTGGACACAGAAGCCAAAGAATTTGGACAGTGCATGTTTGAAAGGACACAGGTGCGTGCTACCACACGCAGCTACTTTTTAAAAATTTTTTGTAGAGTTGGGGTTTCACCATGTTGCCCAGGTTGGTCTCAAACTCCTGGACTCAAGCAATCCCCCCACCTTAGCATCCCAAAGCATTGGTTTTACAGGTATGACCTACCATACCCTGCCTCATATTTTCTTTTTATGTGCATAAAGAAACTCTCAAGGCCGGGCGTGGTGGCTCAAGCCTGTAATCCCAGCACTTTGGGAGGCCAAGAGATTGAGACCATCCTGGCCAATATGATGAAACCCCATCTCTACTAAAAATACAAAAAATAACTGGGTGTGGTGGCGCACGCCTGTAGTCCCAGCTACTCTGGAGGCTGAGACAGGAGAATCTCTTGAACCCACGAGGCGGAGTTTGCAGTGAGCCAAAATCACGCCACTGAGTCTTGCTCTGTCGCTAGGCTGGAGTGCAGTGGCCCAATCTCGGCTCACTGCAACCTCCACCTCCTGGGTTCAAGCAATTCTCCTGCCTCAGTCTCCCAAGTAGCTGGGACTAGAGGCGCATGCCACCATGACCAGCTAATTTTTTTGTATTTTTTAGTAGAGATGGGGTTTCACCATGTTGGCCAGTATGGTCTCGATCTCTCGACCTCGTGATCCACCCGCCTCAGCCTCCCAAAGTGCTGGGATTACACGCATGAGCCACCGTGCCCGGCCAACTTGGGTTTTCAAGTTCTTCTTTTCCTTTCACTCAACATCTACTCAGGCTTTCTTGTTTCTCTTTTTTTCACTTTTCAGGTATGGAAGACAACTGTACCTCTGTCTAGTGGCTTATAAAATATTTTGTATATTTTATACTTTTCCCAGAGCAGGAGAATTAACCACAGCCTGCTGTCCCTAGAAGCTCTTCCAGTAGACCAGAACAAGGGTTGAGAAACTATGACGCTAGGGCCACATCCAGCCAACCACCAGTTTGTTTACCTGTTTTTGTAAATAAAGTTATACTGAAACACAGCCACACCCATTCATTTTCCTATTGCCAATGACTATTGTCTTGCTACAACAGCAGAGTCAAGTAGTTGTGATGCTATCTTGTACTTTACAGAAAAAGTTAGCAGACTCTGATCTAAAATCATGAAAATTATCCTCTGTCACTAAGGATAGAGATGGTAATAAGAACTTCTTTTTAGTTACTATATGATAATGATTACCATGTCAGCTACTTCTGGTTGAGTTGATAATTAGCAACAAATAGCCAAAAGGTAGAAACAGAAAAAGGGAGATGAAACAAAAGACTGCAACACAAAAGATCTCCAAGCTAGATATCCAGGACCTAACTGCATGATAAATATTACAAATACACAAAATGAGGAACCATCCTGGCTCTGAATAGGAACCAGGTGAGACTCTGCCCTGCCTTGCAGCCTACCTGTTCTGCCAGCCAGGCAATATGCTTGACCTCTTTACTGCCTCCTGCTGCACCGGTTGCCCCAAGCATGGCGTTGAGTTCAGCCAATACCTGTGGGAGGAGAGCCATTATGTTGGTGTGGATAGCTACGAACCAGGAGTGTGCTGTGGCTGTATCTTTGCAGCGTAGGATCAACGTGTTCCTGCTATCAGGAGAATGTAGCTCTATCAATCTGTGTGGAAAAAGAGAAAACAAAAAGTGAGCTAGGACACAAGTCACCAAACCTCCAGGTTTAAACTACATAACTGCAAATCTATATTAATTTTGCATTCTTCAAATAAATTTGTATACTCAAATAAAGATACTTTCTTGGCCAGGCATGGTGGCTCATGCCTGTAATCCAGCACTTTGGGAGACTGAGGCAGGCAAATTGCCTGAGATCAGGAGTTTGAGACCAGCCTGGCTAACATGGTGAAACCCCATCTCTACTAAAAATACAAAAAAGTTAGCTGGGTGTAGTGGTGTGCACCTGTAATACCAGAGATTGTGCCACTGCACTCTAGGCTGGGCAACAGAGAGAGACTCTGTCTCAAAAAAAAAAACCAAATTCAGAAAGACCAACTGGGGCTAGTTACTGAACCCAAGAAAAAATTTTAAAAAGAAAGACCAACTGCTGGATCTGTTGTTTCAGTGTTAATGTCATAAGCTACAATTAGGGAACCTACTATAGAGTCTATAGTAGATCACTTTGCCTTAATTTCTATGTCTAAGAAATGAAAAGCATGCTTGCCGAACCACATAGGCACACTGTAAAGAAGGAACGGATATTCTTTTAAACATTTAGAAAATTCTAGTATAAAGTAGTGACAGGTTACAAATACCTACTGCCAAATGATACACTGAAATTTACATTATGTGAAATAAATTAAACAGAAAATTAGCAGCCGGGCATGGTGGCTCACACCTGTAATCCCAGCACTTTGGGAAGCCAAGTTAGGCGGATCACCTGAAGACAGGAGTTTGAGACCAGTCTGGTCAAAATGGCGAAACCCCATCTCAACCAAAAATACAAAAATTGGCTGGGCATGGGATTACATGCCTGTAATCCCAGCTACTCGGGAGGCTGAGGCAGGAGAATCACTTGAACCCAGGAGGCGGAGGTTGCAGTGAGTCAAGATAACGCCACTGCACTGCAGCTTGGATGACAGAGCAAGACTGTCTAAAAAAAAAAAAGATAAAAAAATAGCAGAAGATTATTACTCTTTATGAAAATTTGAAACTGTGTTTGGATAATTTTATATGATTAATCATTCAATAAGTTATGGTAGAAAAATAGTTAAGAGATCAACACTATACTGTTCTGCATTAGTTAATGCTCACCAAGAACAATCTATATTTCCAAAGTAACCTTTAGAAAACAGCTAAAATATTTTAAATATACATTAAACAAATTCTTTATAAAGCAATCTGAATATTGTTTTGTGTTTTAATCAAAGTTATTGTGAAGATGAATTTTAAAAGTCAAATAAATAAATGACTAACACATAGACTCTGCTGTAAACACATATCTTTTACAATGAAAAAAAAAAAAAAAAAAAACAGCCATTAGGAGGTTTTTCATGGTAGGCTACAAACTGACAAACTGCGAGTGAGTTTTCTTTACATTATTTTCTGAAGACAGTTTTTGCTGCCTTAAAGCATTATCATCAGATTCTATGCCACTTTTCAAAAAAGATAAGCAATTTACATGTACACTAGCATTTCTGCTTTGAAGCTTTTTTGTCACAGTTTCTAAACCCTTTATAATTTCAAATACTCAGAAATAAAAAAAAAACAAAACAAACAAAAATTCTAAATACTCTATTATATTTTGTATTGCAAATAATCATTTTCATTTGAATTCTACTTGGTCTATACTTTCTTAAGTAACATCTATTGAGCACCTACTATATGCCTAATATTGTGTTAGGCATTGGTATTAGTGATAGAGTGATGAAAAAAAAAAAAAAAAAACAGATCATCTAGCTACTTCCAGGCCTACCTACCAGTCTATCCATCTTTTATATGCTGTTCAAATTCTCTGGTAACAGCAAAATTAGGACAAAAGTTCTAGAAAATAGGAGGCATAAAACAAGAGTTGTAAACAGCCAAAATGCTTAAGAAAAGTCTGTATTTGAAAATTCGTATCACTCAGAGGAAAATCTTTAGATACCAAGTTTTAAGCTATTTGCTTTTGATTTAGATACAGTTCTGATAAGGTCTTCATTTGATTTCCTATCCTATAAAAATATAGTGAGAGGTAGCTTCATTCCAGAATTTAGAGGGCCTTTAATAGCAGTGTAAGTCCGGATATTAATTGGTAACTTTTTTTTTTTTTAAAGAGACAGGGTTTCATCATATTGGTCAGGCTGGTCTCGAACTCTGAACCTCAGGTGATCTGCCCGCCTCAGCCTCCCAAAGTGCTGGGATTACAAGGTGTGAGCCACCATGCCCAGCAACTTTTTTTTTTTTGAGACGGAGTCTCACTCTGTCATACAGGCTGGAGTGCAGTGGCACAATCTTGGCTCAGTGCAACCTCAGCCAGATGACCGAGTGAGACCCCACCTCAATAAATAAATAAATAAGTAACAATAAAATAATTTTATGGTAGGATGTGAGATGAATTACAATAAAGAGAAAAATGACCTGGTAAGATTTAATTAAACCCAAGAAGAATGAAAGACTACACAGAAGTCATCAGTAGGGACACAGATTCACAGATTACTGGGCAGGAATCCTTCCCTCCTAAGAGCCCATTGCAGCCTCGACCACACAGGTCTTGAGTGATCCTCCCACCTCAGCCTCCCAGTTAGCTGGGACTACAAGTGTACACCACCACACCTAACTCCTTTTTTTTTTTTTTTTTGAGACAGACTCTCGCTCTGTCGCTCAGGCTGAAGTGCAGTGGTGTGATCTCAACTTAGTGCAACTGCTGCCTCCCGAGTTCAAGTGATCCTTCTGCCTCAGCCTCCCAAGTAGCTGAGACTACAGGCATGTGCCACCATATCCGGCTAATAGAGACAGGGTTTCACCATATTGGTCAGGCTGGTCTCAAACTGCTAACCTTGTGATCTGCCTGCCTCGGCCTCCAAAGGTGCTGGGATTACAGGTGTGAACCACCGAACCCAGCTCCCAACTACTTTTTTTAAAAAAAGGTTTTGTAGCGGTGAGGTTTCACTGTGTTGTCAGGCTGGTCTTGAACTCCTGGGCTCAAGTGACCCTCCTGCCTTGACCTCCTGAAGTGCTAAGATTACAGGCATGAGCCACCGTGCTTGGTTCCTTTGTATATTTGAAATACCAGTCCTTTATTGGATATGTACTTTGTAAAGATTGTTTTCCCAATGTGTGGCTTGTCTTTTCATTCTCTTAAGTGTCTTTTGCAGAGCTTAAGTTATAAATTTTAAAGATGTTTAACTTGTCAATTTTTCCTTATGGATTGTGCTTTTGGGGTTGTACGTAAGAAGTCACCATGAGGCCGGGAGCAGTGGCTCACGCCTATAATCCCAGCACTTTGGGAGGCCAAGGTGGGTGGATCACGAGGTCAAGAGATTGAAACCATCCTGGTCATCATGGTGAAACCCTGTCTCTACTAAAAATACAAAAATTAGCTGGGCATGGTGGCGCACACCTGTAGTCCCAGCTACTTGGGAGGCTGAGGCAGGAGAACTGCTTGAACCCAGGAGGCGGAGGTTGCTGTGAGCCGAGATTGAGCCATTGCACTCCAGCCAGGGTAACAAGAGCGAAACTCTGTCTCAAAACAAACAAAAAAGAAGTCACCACGAAACGTAAAGGGGATTTTTTTGTTCGGTTCCAATGCAAAGGGGATTTTTTTTTTTACGTATAATATTTACAAATCCAAGGAGAACAAGAGAGGAATGACTACAACAAAAGTTTGGAAGCTAGTAAACAGATAGAGGAGTTAAATGACTTAAGAAAAAGCCAACTTAAGAAAAGTGGAGAGTCACATCCCAGCTAATCCATGTTGGAGAATCCCTAAGAGGCCGGAAAGCGTGGTACCAGTTACCTCTGGAAGTGACAGTAGAGCATGCAGCTTTACTCTGCATGGTATAAAGAGGCTGGCTGAAACCCTGTCAGCATTCCCCACACCCAGTGGCCAGTGACTGCCCCACCTTCATTTAGCAAAAGATTCAGAATCACTCTTATTCCACCAAACTGGGTTGTGGGGGTAATGATGTCCTTAGTTCAGATGATATATCAGGCTATTTTCTAGAGGGACTAGTTATTTCCATCTAGTTGCTTTGGCACTGTAAGCAGTATAACATCTTTTAAGCATATGCTAGAAGTTCAGCCGCAAAACCTTGACCAGAAATTTCCTTCACTCCTCCTACTGACCTACTTAGCACTAAAGATAGGAAACAGTTCATCCTTCTCAAGGTATACAATGTTCACCTTCTGAAAGTCTTTACACATCCTACAATTCCTAGGACAATCTCTCAGACATTTCTCCCTTGACACAGTCTATGTTCTAAAAATCTTGATGTCAGAGATCCTAGTTATTAATAACTAGAAGAATGGAAAATAAATCTGTTATAAAATCAAACTAAGCCTTGTTAAACACAAGTAGATACTAAGACCACTGGGCTGAAAAAAGATGACAACAGACAGTAAGTTATTTCCCACTAACAGTTCACCAGTTTTTTAATGAAAAGAACAATTCTGTGATTTTTCTAGAAAAGGGATTGTGAAATGGGAAAATTAAATAAGAAGAAACAGAAAACAAACTCCAAAATAAGACTGATGAGTCTAGGATCCAAACATAGAAGATCTTTGAAGAAACCATTAAAACTGACAAAGGGAACAAAGTAATTTGTAAAGGCTACTGCTATTTTAAAAGAAGATTCCAACGAAAACTTTGCTAATAAAAATATGGAGGCAGTCTGCCAGTAATCATTTGGCCCCACAAGGGAGAAGAGGAGACAGTTATAATGTGTAAAGTTTTAGCCTCTTGTCAAACCCCTGAGGATTTCCTGAGAAATACAATTAACATTTTGATCAGATGAATCAAATCAATGTTTAGGTACACACAATTCTGTAAGTCCAGCTTACTTTATTTCTCCGGTGTAGCAAAGTCTTTGATATAACTTATATGTTAAACTTAGTAATAATCATATAATTTTACACATTGTAAAGCGACAGTTTACCTTGTACATAGAAAATAGTCAATGTGAAGAT